TGCAGGACCCTGCTGCCACAGCCCTCCCGTGTTCAGCAGGGCTGTAGCCCCAGCCCAGGGCCCCCAGTGAAGCTGTGTCTGCTCTCCTGCTCTCTGCAGCCCAGCTGAACATCGGGAATGTCCTGCCCGTGGGCACCATGCCCGAGGGCACCATCGTGTGCTGCCTGGAGGAGAAGCCAGGGGACCGCGGGAAGCTGGCGCGCGCCTCCGGCAACTACGCCACCGTCATCTCCCACAACCCTGAGACCAAGAAAACCAGAGTGAAGCTGCCCTCAGGCTCCAAGAAAGTCATTTCTTCTGCAAACAGAGCTGTTGTGGGTAAGGAGCCATCACTGTGAATTTGTCACTGGGTGCTTGTCACTGAATCTTCCCAACAAGGCCCCACTTTTAATAACCACCTTGAAAATATGTCATGTGCAGGCTGGACAGTGTGCTCAGGTGCCTGGCTTGTATTTTACACTTGCATTACTTTTGCATGTTGCTAACCTGAATTTGGAGGTTTGACCTAGTGAGAGGACAGAAAAGTGGATGCTCATTGTCCTCAGGACAATGTTCATTGTTCAGCCTGTAAAAGCTGCAGTTCTTGGGGAAGGACTTAACATGGGAAATGGCATTTTGATTTCCTGCTTCTGGTGCACTGAAGGAGCCTGTTGGTGGTGTCTGGTGGGTGGAGTGTTCGGGGAGGTCTGACAGGGAATGACAAAGCCACTGCCAGGAAGCAGAGGCTGCACCAGGTTTTTTGTGCACCTGGCTGACAGCTGAGATGGCTGCTGGTAACACTTGCCTGCCTCTGCATGGAAGACACCAAAATGAGTAATCTGGTGTGTTAGTCCAGTAAAATTGACTCAGTAAATCAAGGGGGTATTTAACCTCAAAGTTCTTCACAGTCTCCTGAGCTCTTTCAGTTCATACTTCACTTGAAAATGTTGCTCAGGAAGTCATTGCAGTAAAAATTACAGTGCTTTAGAAAGAGAGCTCAGTCCGTGTGTGCTGGATCAGAAAGAAGGCTGTAGCTCAGCTGGTGTCAGTGTTGGTGCTGGTTTGACCGTTGCTGTCCCTTCCTGCAGGAATCGTGGCTGGGGGAGGCCGCATTGACAAGCCCATCCTGAAGGCCGGCCGTGCCTACCACAAGTACAAGGCCAAGAGGAACTGCTGGCCACGAGTCCGTGGTGTGGCCATGAACGTGAGTCTGGCTGCAGCCATCCCTGTCCCCTCTGACAGTTCAGGGAGGCTTTGTGGGATATTGGGGGGAGCCTGGCATGCATCTGGGAGGGAAACTTCCCACATAGATATGCAGCCACGGGGTGAGTTAGCAGCACTCGATGGTGACTGCACCACCTGAAAAGTGAAGTAGTTACCTCTTTGTCCCCTTGAGCCTGTTGATTTCTGTTGAGCACCAGTTTCTGTGGTTACATTGCTGTCTTGCTTCCCCCCCGGGCAGCCTGTGGAGCATCCCTTCGGAGGAGGCAACCACCAGCACATCGGGAAGCCCTCGACCATCCGCAGGGACGCCCCGGCGGGACGCAAGGTGGGGCTGATCGCCGCGCGCCGCACCGGCCGCCTGCGCGGCACCAAGACCGTGCAGGAGAAGGAGAACTGAGCTCCCAGCCCGGGGGCCACTCAATAAACCTGTACAACACAGCCCGTGTGCAGTCCCTGGTGTCTGCTGCTGCTGCAGAGGGGGTAAAGCTGGGATCGTGTTCAGCACGGGAAGCTGTGAGTGGAGATTCGGGGTTTTTGCCCTTGCCTTGCAGAGCAGGGATTCTCCCAGGCAGCACTTGCAGTCTGTAAGCTGCTCCTGCAGGCTGGAGTAACGCTGCTGTGGATGCTCTTGTGCCCTGGTGTGTTCATGTTGGCCTGGTTCTGTGGAAGCTGGGGCCTGACAGAGCAGTCAAGTAATCCTGTGGTCAAACTTGGGAGTCTGGCAGAAAGGATGCTCAATTTCCTAAGTTCAGAATCTCTAACATAATGTGTTGTTATAGGACACAAACACAAGCACACACCGCTGTTCTTAAGGTGAAGAAAAAAGGGAAGTTTATTTTCTGACTCTAACATTTATAGTTTTCTAAAAGTGACAGTGGCTTGGAGGGTGACAGTGCTACTTCTCTAATAACACTGGACAAACCAACAAGTCTGTCAACTTTCTCCTCTATAAAGGAATACAAAACTGAGTTATTTACAGAAAGTGTGTGAGAAAGTTCACTACAGAAATGTCAACATCAGAAGGCTTAGAAAATCTTAAAAAATCAAGGCGACAATAATAGTTTTCCATTTTCATCTTTTGGGGCAGGGGAACCTTGAGTTGTAAACTTGGGAAGTATTTCAGCTGCTCCCACTGCAAGGTTTGAGCTTCCTTTTGGAACTGTGAGGCTCAAGTCAAATGAAAGGTGCCAAAAATTCGAGGTGTCACACAAACTGCCCCCTCATCAGTTTTTGGGAAGGGGAGACAGCTTCAAACATGTCTTTGCATGTTGGTCATGATGTGATGTTCCAAGGTGCTGCAGTAACATGGGCAGCAGCACTAATGTCCCCTGGGAAGCTGTGTTCTAAGAACAGCTGTCCTGTGAAAAGCCAGCTTCTGTAATGCAGTGAGAAAAGTAATGGGGTTTAGTGCAAGATTGCTTTTACAGCTTTGCTGGGCTGGCCTTAGGAGGGAGAAATCACTGAATGCAGCTGGGGCTCAGCTTCGTGTCTGAGCACGCCCAGAGCCAGGGCTCCTGTTGATCTCAGCAGCTCTGGCTGTGCTGGATGGCTCTGAGCCAAGGACCAGACTTCCCTCTATGGGAATGACTTGCTTTGATGGGAACCCAGTAGAATGCAAAGTGAGAAAAGTAATTTCTACACCCACGCACAAATCCAGTGCTGGAGCTGCCCCTGTGTGTCTGAGGAGGGAAAGGTGATTTAAAAAGCCCAAACCACACCTGGAGAAAGGCATCAGAACCCATCAGGAAGAAAAAGCAAAGCAAAGGTGAGTTTTGTTTGTTTCTATTGCTCCAGTTCCATCAAGGCCTGAAGCTCACATCTGTTCTTGCCATGAGCTCAGAAGCTCTTGGGTTCTTGTGCTCTCCTGACAGGGCCCACAGTCAGTGTAACACTCCTCCCAAACACCATCAGAAGAGCAGCTGAAGTATTTAATGTTCCACAACAATTTGCATTAAATGCACCTAAAGGGTTCACAGAAAATCAAGGTTCCCAACCACTTTTGGGCCTCTTGATGCTGTTTATTTTTTTGGGAAGAGGGAGATGGATACTGACCCTTGGCTGCCCCTGCTGCTGTTCCAGGTTCTGGCACTGCCCACCAGTGTTCACAGCCACAGGGTCAGTGCACCAAGCCCATGAGTAGGGAGTAATTAATACAAATTATTAAAAATAAATAAGTATCATATTACAGGGTTTAATGCAGCTCCAAAAACATTTAATGTAAACACATAGGATGCAATGCCAGAAGTCTCTAAATTCACACAGTAGTAATGAAGACCGCAAAGATTGTTCTCCCTTCACCAAACTCCAGATGCAGCCACTATTCCAGTGCAGTCTCCTGTTGCCAACATGAACGTGGAACTCAGAAAATCCTCTGTGATCCCGGCAAATGACTCAAGGGGCAAAATGTTCCTCCAGCCTCAACACCTCCAGTGCTAAAAGTCTGTGAAAATAAACATGAGGGAAGAGGGAGTAAGATAAAGCAAATAAACAATGAAAGGCTCTAAAGAAACCAACCTCAAATGAAATATTTAAGTAAAGTGAAATATATTTTCTAAACCGAAAGCCTAATTTAAGCTGTAGAATAGAAGTGAACTCCAGCAGTTTACACAACAGGGGAAGTTCAGACAATTAACAATGCGATAAGAATTTAAAAAATACCCATAAATGTACACAGGTGAGTTCCTAACAAGCTTAACCTCGGGCTGGGAGGATCTGTGAAAGCCCTGAGCAGAAAATGAGAATGGGGCTGAAGTTGGGCCAGTCCCTGTGCTCTGTGGGCTGAGCACCAGGCTCAGGCTCAGCTGAGCAGGGCAGAGCTCCCTCTGAATCTGCACTGCAGAAATGAGAAATGAACCAGGCAGGGACAGGGCAGAGCTCCAGGAGCTGCTGAGCACAGGAAAGCCCAAACCTGGCCCTGAGGTGGGAGGGGCTCGACCGAGGCAGCTCCAACACAAAAACACTTGGAAATGTAAATGAAAATAAAAAATAGAAAGCACACGGCTCCTTCTGTGGTCCTGCCCTTCTACCCCCACTGCCATTGTATGGAATCATGGGCTGGTTTGGGGCTGAAAGGACCTGGAAGATCATCTAGTTCCAACCCCCCTGCTGTGGGAGTAATTATGTAATGTGTTGTAATTATGCTTTAATTGTGTATCATAATCAGCAACCTCCTGCTCAAAGCAACTGTTTTAGCAGCATGACAGAATACCCAGTGGATTTGCTTGTATGGTTTATATCCAGGGTACTTCACTTCATGGAGGAGCATCTCAATTCCCAACCCCAATATTGCACAGAAGACATGAGCTACTATAGATACAGTCAAACTTAAAAATCGAAGCCATGCTTATTAGTAAAACAACAATAATAATGATTATTATTATATTATTAAACCTCCTCACATAAAGATTAGCACAGTTACAGAAATCTTGAAATGAAGCAAACTGTTTTAAAGAAAGAAGTTAAGTGTTCTGCAGAATTCTCAGAGGTTATTTCCAGTATATGGCTTTGTCTGCTGAAAGAAAAAAATTTAAAAACTAAAAATACATGTACCAGTGAAGCACTAAAGCCTTCCTTTAGAAGGGCTTCAGATTCCCATCTACTGAAAGAGCAAACAGCATTTTCTTTACACTTTTTTAAGGGTGTGTTGAGAAGCACCAAGTGCTACCTAAACATGGACAGGTATCACAAATTCCTTCCCGGTAAGAGAACCCTCACTGACATCACTGTGCCCTGCCAACACCCCCGGGGAAGCAGTAGGAAGGTCAGGGAAGCAGGAGGGAGGGTCACTTCACCCCGAGGTTGTGGGAATCCACAAAATCAGAAGGTTTTGGGAAAGCTGCAAAAGGCAGGCCTCAGAGACAGCAGAACTGTGATTGGAGCTAAGCAGTAGCCATGAGATAGGTCAGCAGAAAAATTATTTAAAAAGAAAAGCAAAGACAAATAGAACAATGGTCTGTGTATTAATGCTTGTCTAGAATGATACCCTAAGCTACAGAAAATTTTATCTAGCAAGACATTAGGAAGTTTGAAGCTTAATAATGGAACTCTGTGTGTTGTGTTTTAAGGGTTACAAGCAGGTATTGTATTCAAAATAAGCAGCATTGTTTTAACCAAAGGTATGTGTGCTTATAGTGGTTGGATATAGCTACTGTCAATGTGCTTTTGCTTTGTGTGATTGGTCAAACAACTTATAAGGTAAGTTGTAACATAAAGTTCTTGGTCTGCTGCCTGGGATGTGAGCTGATGGCATCTCCCCATTGTCATAACCATGTAATGAGACTGATGCTGGAAAATAAAACAGCTCAAGGCACATTCCACAGCATTCCCATTCCATTTGTGATTTGTACATGAACCCCAGCCGGCGATAGAGGTCCCTGCCCCGGGGCTTCCTCAGCTCCACTCCCAGCCCCACTGGCCAGCCCTGAGAAACCAAAGGGGAGCAGCTCTGCAGGACCCACAGCCTGCCACACACTGGGGCAGGCAGGGAACAAGTGCAGAGGGGGATGCAAGGGAACAGTGTGAGGGGAAAAAAGGCCAGAGCAAACCCATGCAGGGAGTTTCTGCAAAAAGAAGAGAGGGAAACAAGCTCCAGCAGCAAGTTCATGATCCTGACTGTTGTGCTGAAGTTACCAGGTAAGTTATCTATCAAATACAAGGGAAAAGCTTCAGGCTGTGTTTTCAGCTAATGTAAAAACCACAGGAGCCCAAATTCTAAAAGGTTGCAGGGAGTCAGGTGATCAATAAATCTTTACAGCCTCCACAGAGGTTAAATTAAAAAATGGCTTTTTTTTGTCTTGTGACATTAACAGATTCTCAGAGAGAAATGTGAGAACAGAAACATTTGTGGGAGTTGTTTTACATTTTTGCTGTTTTCATCGAAAGCTTTCTTCTCCCAGTTTATAGCAATCCTCACCCCCAGTGATCTGTTGGGATACATCCAGAGTGTACCCGAAATTCTCAGTTTTGCCACCATGTTGATGTCCAGAGAATCCACACTCACATCCACTCAGATGGGCGACATCGACTGAACAGCCAAGGACAAGCTCAGGTGTTACAGCATCACAGGAGTGTCAGGGTTGGAGGGATCCCCGGGGCCTGCCCAGTCCATCCCCCTGCCAGGGCAGGGTCACCTGGAGCAGGTGACACAGGAGTGGGTCCTGTGGGGCATCCAGGTGGGTCTGGAATGTCTCCAGAGGGAGACTCCACAGCTGTTCCAGAGCTCTGCCACCTTCACTGTAAAGAAGTTCTTCCTCATGCCAAGCTGGAACATTTTGTGCCACCTACTTCCATAATGTCCTTTTTAAATTGTTTTTTTATTTCATGTTAGTACAACAAATTCCCAGAAATTTGCCACTGTTCTCCACTTCCATTGGCATATTTTCAAGAGCAAACTTTGGGAACCAGAGGTTTCCAGTAGCTCTCCATTGACCCGCCTCTCAT